CATTTAATCAGGAATTATTTGGGCTAACATTCGTATTCTTCTTGTTTGTTTCTATATTTAGTTGATGTAAAATTGAATATAATATGTAAAAAATATATTAATAGATTTAGCCAAATTCAAGGCGTTCAATTACTTTTTGACCGTCTAGAACATTGGTTAGTGGTTACATAGCTTTTCACACACTGACACTTACTCTTCGCCTTAATAATTTCCCAACCTACCTATCCCACCACTGGATGTCGTGTACTAGTGATTAAACGGAGAGGTATCTTGTTGTGCTACTAGTTCAAATTCCGGTAGAAAGAATCGTTTACGCTATATTAAAAGGTATTATCAAAAGCAGGTTCTGAACCCTAAAAAAAATTAAAACCTAGATCCGAATTACTCCTAGTTTTCAAAAGAAAAAAAAAAAAGCCTTATTTTTTGGTTTTTATTTTCCTTACAATAGTCTATATGATAATTATTGATGAACTGTTTTCTTTCACAAATATACGATATTTTCATATCATTAGGATATAATTCCATAAAAAAGATACATTCAATCATGTCCAAATCATGTTCAGACTTTTACCGACCAAACCCAATCGGTCCACACAAATTCAGACGGATCAACTAAAAGATCAGAAAAAAAACAAAATAAAATCCCAAAGAATTATAATAACCACAAGAATACCATAAAGGCATAAATAAAATATCCACAAATAGTTTGTTTATAAAAAGAAAAGAAAGAAGAAGATTTCATATTCTTGAATTCATGGCGGAGGCAAACACTCCACATATAGCAATCATACCGAGTCCCGGTGTGGGTCACATCATCCCACTCGGCGAGTTTGCAAAACGACTCGTCGACCACCACTCTTTCACCGTCACATTCATCATCGCCGACGAATCTTCGCCGTCTACTGCCCAAAGATCCGTCCTCAACTCTCTCCCTTCCTCCATATCCTACGTTTTCCTCCCTCCCGTCGATCTTTCCGACCTTCCCTCCACGGTCGGAATCGAAACTCGGATCTCACTCACCGTGACTCGTTCAGTCCCGCCGCTCCGGGAGCTTTTCCGGTCTTTATCGACGGAGAAACGTCTCCCGGCGGTTCTCCTCGTCGACCTATTTGGTACGGATGCGTTCGACGTGGCAGTTGAGTTCCACGTGTCACCATACGTATACTACACATCAAATGCAAACGTTTTGTCGCTTTTGCTTCACTTGCCTGAACTAGACGAGACGGTGTCGTGTGAGTATAGGGACTTAACCGAATCGGTTAAACTCCCCGGTTGTGTCCCGATAACCGGTAAGGATTTTGCTGATCCGTTTCAAGACCGAAACGACGACGCATACAAATGGCTTCTCCACCATGCCAAGAGGTTCAAAGAAGCTAAAGGGATTCTACTGAATTCCTTTATCGATTTAGAGCCAAACGCTATAATGGCTTTACAAGAACCGGCTCTTGATAAACCACCGGTTTACCCGATTGGACCGTTGGTTAACACGGGTTCATCTCATGCGAATCAGACCGATGAATCGGAATGTCTAAATTGGCTAGACCGCCAACCTCACGGCTCGGTTCTCTACGTTTCATTTGGAAGCGGAGGAACACTCACATGTGAGCAGTTTAACGAGCTAGCTTCCGGTCTAGCGGAGAGCGGAAAGCGGTTTATTTGGGTCATACGTAGTCCGAGCGGGGTCCCTAATTCGTCATACTTCAATCCACATAGTCCAACCGACCCATTAACGTTTTTGCCACCAGGTTTCTTAGACCGGACCAAAGAAAAAGGTTTAGTGGTTCCGTCATGGGCTCCACAAGCTCAAATCCTGGCCCATCCATCCACGGGTGGGTTTTTAACGCATTGTGGATGGAATTCGACTCTAGAAAGCATTGTGAACGGTGTACCCCTCATAGCATGGCCTTTATACGCGGAGCAAAAGATGAACGCATTGTTACTCGTGGAGGGTGTTAGGGCGGCTATAAGAGCGCAAACCGATGAAGAAGGGATCGTACGAAAGGAAGAAGTGGTTAGAGTGGTGAAGGGATTGATGGAAGGAGAAGAAGGGAAAGCGATAAGGAACAAAATGAAAGAGTTGAAAGAAGCAGTTGTTAGAGTCTTGGGAGTAGATGGGTTCTCTACAAAGTCACTCACTCAAGTTTCCTTAAAGTGGAAAGCCCACCAACGAGAGATCCAACAAGACACGACCCATTATCAATAGTTGTTTATTTAGACAAATCGTAATGAAGTTGAACGAGGTTGTCTTATGAAATAATTTGTACGAGTTTTTCTATTAGAAACAACGTCTTTTTCACTTGGGATTATGTTTGCAATCCATGGAGAAATCTGGATTTCTTGGTTTCCTAGGAACTTATGTCTACGGGCTTTTATTAAGGCCTAATAGTCTTTCTCTAAGCCTTTGTCTTTTCTCGTCGTTGAAAAGTAAATATATTTTCCTATATTTTTTTTTGTTAAAATGGATTTATATATTAATTCTCATCTATGTTGACCAAAACTTCTACCTTTTTTGGGGTCTAAATCTACCTTCCTAGTTTGTACGAAAGTAACAACTTCAAATTTAGTGGTACTATCATGAAAGATAC